ATAGCTTGAAAAAAAAAAAAAAAAAAGGGAGGCCCGCGCCGCCTGTGAACCGACGACGGGTTGGCGGAGGTGGGCTGGCAGCGCCACAGCGGCGGGACACCACAGGTTGTTCGGGAGGACCGGGTGGCATTTCGGCAATAGCTGAGGGTTGGGAACGGGGTGGACGCAGCCTTGCTGAAGGCTGTTTCTTACGGGTCGACTGGCGCGACAACAATGCTGAAGCGTCAAGTAAACACCTTCGTCCAAGCCAGCGACGACACGCAACCGAGCATGAAGAACTCAAACTGCATTTACAAATACGTGCTCGTTGGCCAGGAGCTTTCCGAGAAGCTCCGTGGTCAAAGGATGCTTCGGTGCGTGTTCTGCGGGAACGAGTGGCAGGGGAACAGGCATGGGGCGGCGCGACATTTTCGTAGCGTGAAGGATGTTCGCAGGTGACCAACGAAGCTCTTATGGAGATGCATTACACGAGCGGTTACGCATTTGAGGGAAAGTGGTTGGAGCGGATCCACAAGTACGAGGAGCTTCACGGTCCTTGGGTGGATGAGAGGAGGACTGGCGGGGGTCAGGCGCAGGCACGGGCGGCGTCCAACGCCCCAGTCGGAGCACGGCAACAGGGCGATGACGTCGTCGATTTGGGTGGCGAGGGAGAGGATTGCGGGGTCGCGGGGGTTGAGGGGGAGGTCGAGGCTGCATACTCACAGCGCCCAGGCAAGTTGCCGGTCGGTGAGGGTGGTTCGAATTCAGGGAAGAGGAAGGGTGTGGTTGTTGCGGTGATGCAGCAGGGGAAGAAGATGAGGCAGCCGACGATAAAAGAGGTGTTCGGGTCTGACTGGGCTGCTCAACACAGGAAGTTGTGGTTGCGCTTCAACCAGCTTCCCTTCAACATCTTTCGGAGCCCGACATGGAAGGCGTACACTGCACACTTCAGGGACAAACCCACATCAGTCCCCGTGGTTTGGCCTTCTGAAAACGAAGTCGTAGCGATGGATACAGTGCTTCAGACGGCGACGGACGTTGTTGCGGGTCTCAAAGACATACAAGAGTCGTTTGACCGCACAGGGGCGACGATCATATCCGGTGGTAGGAAGTCTCGTGATGGGAAACCCATCGTGAACTTTCTTGCAGTCGGTGCTAGAGGAGTGATGATGTATCGCACCCTCAACAGGGAGGGTGAGACTGATGATGCGCTCGAAGTGTAGGGGAGGTGGATATCGGTTTTGCACAACTTCGGTCCCGACAGAGTTAACGCCATTTGCACAGACTCTTCGTCTGCCTACGTAAAGGCAGGCAACGCTTTGGCCCATCCTCACATGCGGCCTGAGTACAAACGGATTACGTGGCTTCCCTGTGCAACGCATGTGTGCAACAAATTGTTGTCGGACATCGGGACAGCGGGCTCGTGGTGCGTAGACATCATTGTGCGAGTGAGAGCGGTGGTGCACTTCATAAAAATGCATGGCCGAGCTGATTTTTTGTTCAGGAGAGAGAGTCGCCATCTAGGTTTGTTGTACTCTTGTGAGACTCGCTTTGCTTCTGTGTACGCCATGCTAGAGTGGTTGGATGTTGTGCGGCGTCCTTTGGAGCGGATGGTGGATGGGACAGACTGGTGCAGGGAGCCCTGGGCGACTTCGTCGATCAGGCAGCATGCGCGATGGGTGCAGCGGCAGATCCGACATGGCAGTTGGTGGGACTCCATGGACATCTTGCGTGCGGTTATGGACCCGACTTATGATCTGCTGCACAAGATAGATCGTGGAGGGTTATGCATGTCTCGAGTGGTCGAGTGGACTGAACAGTTGGCGAGGGAGGTGGAGGCGGCTGTTAAACCGCTGGAGGATGGATTGGGGGATCAGGTGCGTGTAGGAGCGCGTCGCTCATATGTGTGAGCCTGCGCATGTTGCGGCGCACCTCCTTTGTCCGATGAGGAGGTCGATGCAATATTACAGCGGCATGGTGAAGGACGAGGATAAACGACTTGTGAGGGAGGCGGAGCGGTACATTCTGTCGCAGACCGGGTTTGATGAGCGGCAGAAGGAGTATCGAGACGCTGTGTTGCAGTTGCGGGACTTTCATATGCGCACATGGACTTGCGCATGGGGAGGGGAGCGGGCACGCGCCGCAACGAAGATGTGTGTCAGAGAGAAGGAGACCATTGAGAGTGGTCTTTGGTGGTCACAGTATGGCGGCTGTGCTCCTCAGCTTCAGCGTATCGCTCTTCGTGTGTTGTACATGTGGACGTGCTCCTCTCCCTCTGAGCGGAACTGGGCCATCCACGAGAGTATTCACACGAAGAAGCGTAACAGATTGCTGTTCCCGAAGGTCGCGAAGTTGGTGGAGATCACAGCCAACACGCGGCTTTTGGCTCTTCAGAGCAGTGGTGGAGGTTTTGTTCTTCCGTGGACTCAGGATGAGTCCATATTGGATGTCGAGGGTGGCTTGGAGGCAGACGCTGTATGCGAGGGGGTGGACCACAGCATACCCGAGGAGGACCGCGATGCGCAGGCGCAGTTGTAGCGGTGGGATGCTTGTGGGTCACGACCACCGCCTCCCATTGAGGATGTGTTCGGGGTTCGGGCCGCCACTTTGAGGCCGTACTCGAGAGATGACTCGAGTGGAGATGAGCGCGAGGAGGCAGATGAGGGTTTCCGCCCCCGCGGCGCTGGTGCTGCCTGGTGTGCAGGGGACGATGATGACACTTGGAGTGACCCTGAGGAGGTTCGCCGACGTAGTGGTGGCAGAGATTTATTCGAGGACACAGCTAGGGGCAGGTTTGGAGTCGAGGGATGCTGGGACGGATCTGGGAGCCCTCTTGTCGAGCCGATTCCTCATACCTCATCGCCGGTCGTACATGGGGCAGAGGGGGATATAGCGGGCATGCGAGGAGCCCATCACAGTCCGACAGGCAAGGGCTCATTAGCCAGCGACGAGGATTCAGAGGGGCGTGGAGGAGGTGTGGGGCTTGTGCGGCTTCAGAAGGGTCCGAAGGTCACAAAGAGACAACTCATACTAGGTTCTGAGTCACCGCCGTCATCTAGGGGTGCGACCGGTGCGGGGACAGGGGGAGCGGAGATCAGAGATGCAGGACATGATCGTCCGACAGACGACAACAGAGAGATAGGCACCGGAGATGTGGCCAGAGGTGTTGCTTGGTCGCTAGGGGACATTGGGACGCTAGGCGCTCTGCCTCGTAGTAGCATGGGTCACGCGGAGCAATTTGATGATGCCCATCATGAGGGGGTGCCACAAGATGAGGCAGTTGGCGGTGGGGACCATGCTTTGGAATCAGCGTCCATGCGCGATTTCATGCCCGAGCTAGGGGCCACTCTGCCATCCATGATGGAGGGTGAGTCTGTTGTTGCGCGACGGGCCGACGACGAGGATGTTCGGCCTCGGCCACAGACAGTTCACATGGGAGTGCCTGCACCCGACACCGAGGAGGAGCGGATGGCTCGAGAGGTGAGGGAGGATGAGGAGGAGGCCGCAAGGGCCAAGGCCCTAGCTGATGCTGACCCACGCACACAGGCCACGACACGTGACATGGAGGTCATGCGTCAGTTAGAGACTGGGGGAGAAGGACTGCGAGGCGATGTGGCGGAGGATGACCAGATGGAGGCAGCTGCCCACATTTCACATGCGGCTCGAGAGATAGACGACGATGCATCGCCGCTCGATGTCGACAGCGCACCCATCGTCCCGCCACCACCAGACGGAGAGGTGGACGCCGTTGCAGTGGCACACGACAGAGAGGCGCGCGGCGAGACAGTGGTTCAGTCCACTGTGGCAGAGGATGTTGCTGCTCAGGCGGTGGCCCCTCAGATAGTCGATGGTGTAGATACGACTTTGTTGGGAGATCCAAGAGCGGTACCAGGGGGAGACGTGCAGGATGAGGAGGCAGTTGGGAGTCCAGCGGCGGTGGGGGGAGATGCAAAGTTAGGGGAGGATAGGGTTCGGGAGGTACGTGGAGATGTGGGTGCGCCCTCGACTGCACCTGGTTCACGCGAGGAGGAGGGAGCAGGAGTCATGGCGCCACCGCCCATTCGGCATGATTCACCGACGGCCACACTTCGACCACCCTGTCAGCGGTCACGGCGTCGTCCACCTGTGTGTCCGATCAACGCTCAACGAGATTTGTACAATAGAGTTGAACCCGTTGTACATCCTCGGGGGGCCCGTTGAATTCCCGTTGAACGATACAACGGGGGTTTCCTGTTGTATTCCGATCAACGGGTCCGGCCCAATGGGCCGCGGACACGTGGAGGAACCCCCGTGGAAAAAAAAACAGGTAAAAAAAAGAAGTGAAAAACTGCCCTCTGTGAGTGTGTGTGTGTGTGTGCGTGTACGTGTGTTCATGTGTGCTTGTGTGTGTGACAGTGTTGTGTGTGTGTGTGTGTGTGTGTGTGTGTGATTGGGTAGGGGTTGGGGGGGCGACCCATCCCCTACCAATCAATCAATCAATCAATCAATCAAAAGAG